GTGAGTTTATGCCTTTGAAGAATAATTTGTGTCCTGTAGTCTTGAAATCTTTGCCATTTACATGACTCACTACCCACATTAACTATCTTGGACTTAAGATTCCTAGAAAAGCCAAATTTTTATTCAAATTGAATTTTTTGGATATGATGGACAAGCTAAGAGCTAATATGAGGAACTGGAGGTTGCTTCCCCTTTCAGTGATTGGTTGCATCAATGCTATTAAGATGGTTGCACTTCCAAGGTTCTTAAATCTTTTCCCAAAACCTTCCTATCTATTTACCAGTGTCTTTCTTTAAATAACTCCCCACTTGATTAATATGTGTTTTGTCTGTGGGTGTGAACATGGTGACTTTGTCTCAGTCCATTTTCTTCCCTGTAAATCCATGTGATCATTGATTGATGACCCAGGTCTATTTCAAAGTCATGAAATCAACCAGACTTGATGTTGTTCGCTGGCAGTAGCTCCAAACATGACATCATCACTGAGTGTTTGTTTCTCATCATGGTTGTTTCAGTTGACAGTGAGCTGTAATGCTGCCACCAGGCTGCAGTCTTTGTATTGGACCACAGACACTGACACATGTGGAGCAAAGGAAATAAGAAACAGAGATGTCTTCACCTCAGGATGATCAATAACATGCACACATCTGCTTTTGATTTCATCTTTTTCCAAAAAAGGGCAAACACTGTGACAAATTCAGGGTAGAAACAGACTGAAGGACAGGGAGTCAGAAATGAGAGGACAGGTGAGTGTATAAAGGTTTGTTGGAGAACAGGTAACAGAAGATGGAGCTGTCCAGGGTGCTGGTGCGCACTGACACCACTAATGTATTCATTATTTATATTAAATAGAAACGTTTATGTTTCTGTTACATACCATATGTAAATAATGTAAATAATTTATACCTTTCCACATCAGAGCCTCTTATAAATCCACTCAACATGTTTGTCCTTTTTGAATTTTGGATCAAACCTGTTTCTATTCAAAACAATGACAGACAGTTTATCTGAGCTGCTGTTACTCTGTGAGTTTTGAAGGAAGTCCAAATCTAAATTTCAGTCAGTCCTTAGGCTACTTTGAACCACAGCAGAAAACACAGAATAACTGTTGTGTTACACCTAATGAAGTCTTTTGATATTTAGGAATGATCTATGTATCAGTTTAACAGTGTGTAACATTTAAAGTCACGTACTGCTTCCACAGACAGCTGACACGTATTTGTCCGTGTGTTTGATCATTAATAGCACAACTACTAACTATTTAAATCTAAAGGAGTCACAGCAGCAGCTCTGATGGTCAGTCTGGCTGAACTGCACCATGAGCCTCGGCCATCATCAGTGTGTTTGCTGACACCAGAATAATTTGAGTTTATTCCAAAGTCATCAACAGCAGATGGTTGTTTTTACACTGAGTCCTTGAACAAACATGTGGGCTGCTGGAAAACGGCTTTGATGGAGCTGTGATGCATTTGAAGTCATTTTAGGAGAGAAATGAGTGGGAAAAGCCGCTGAGCAGTGCTGGCCACGGCGGTGAATAGGTGAGGTTTGGAGGCTCCACAGACAAAATGCAGAGAGCATCAGAGCTCTACATGACTTGAATATGAAGAGACACAAGTCCGCTATCGGCTCCCTTCACTGTCAGCCTTCAGCACTTGTCCCACATTTAGTTTTTCACCTTTTCTCAGTCAAGAGAAAACACAAGTGCTCCAGCTTTCACACTGC